GATAAAAAATTGTAGATTTTACGTTTAAAAATGGCACGAACAGTTTTGAAACACTTTTTCGATTTATATTAGAAAAATTGCGTTCTACGGAAAAATTTGGTGCCCCCCGATAATGTAAAAGTACCTGATATTCTAAAAAAAAAGTAATTCTAAAGAAGCCTAAAAGCCAACTATGATCGACTTTTAGAAACAACCTGCATAACGTCGGTGATCTACAACACATCTTCTGCGACAGAACCATCGGACGGATTACAAGAGCTATTCATTCGTCTACCGGATACGGTAGATAGTTGTGTTTGTGTGGCAGATGGATATACGTATCCGCTCAGCCCAGGCGCCAATCCCGTCCCAATAAATGGCAAAAAGGTTAGTGGGAAATTTGATGCTTTTGCATTATCGGGGGGGGGGGGCGGCTTTTTTGTAACGTCAAATTTTTTCAATAATACCGAGTGTTTTTAAGTGTTTTTATGCTGCTTTGGCGCTATGCCTAAACGCGGAACTTTACACATTTTTGGAAAAAAAAATCGATTTTTTGACCCCAAAAATACCGATTTTCGACAAAACTTCGAGTTTTTGGGAGTTTTTTAAGTTGTGGTCAAATATTGAAATATGGCCAAAAACCACCAAAATGATATCCAAAAGGCCTGACTTTTTCGGCGATTCTTAGGGGAAAATTGGCCCCTCCCCGATAATTCAGAGTCGAAAATTACAAAAACTGTGTTTAAAACTTGTTAGCAACCCGGTACAATTTTAAGCGACATTATCGGTAATTTCGAACCGGATCGCGATGGTCTAATCAAAAAATTAAATCTAAAAAGGTTAAACTGCTGGTTAAGGCGCTTGGAACTGTACAGTGCAAAAAATGTGTTCCAAAAAAATGTAATCCCCGGCGATTTTGAAAATTTTTGATCGTTGTAGCAGAGGTTGTTCCATTCTCCTTCGCATCTAGGATCCATGGAACTGGTGTCTTAGCGGTGGGAGGATTTTCAGAGATAATGAAAGAGAGGAGAGAGAGTGAGAGAGATAGAGAGAGAGAAAGAGAGAGAAACCAATTTAGGCGTTCGTCTACGATTGGCCAGTCGGCAGTTATCTGATAATTTCTGGGGTTACGGTAGCCTCGCTTTCCCTCGAAATGAGGGCCATCGCGGGGACAATGCCCGAATATCCACAATGCGCCAATTTGGGCGATACAGGTAACACTACCCACAAATCGAACATAACAATCGACATTTTAACGACTAAAATACCATTCGTTTCTGACAAATTAATACACTATTTATTGAAGGAAAACCATCGATTTTTCGGGTAAGGAATTCCGCTTCCGGCACGCACTAATAGTTTTAAAGCATGCTTCGTAACAATCCGAAGTGAAACACTCATTTTCTCACAATTTTTGAAGGTCCTCCATGAAGGTCATAAACCACATTTTGCACATTCGTTTTTCCTACCTTTTTAAATATTTGAGACAAAACTGTTAATGTAATCTTCAAATGAAAGGTTCGAGGTTTCAAATCACACATCATCGAAATTATGGAATCCAAATTCATGCTCGTTTGGAAAATGCGCGAAACATTTTTTTGTCCATTAATCGGATGCTGCTATTTTTGAAATAAACCCTTGTCTTCATTTTGAAAACTGCATAAGATTTTCTACGTATGTATAATTTAGTTGTAACAGAAAATTGCAGCCATATGGCAGCTATATCAAAATGACACTACTCGAGTGGCATCAGTGGAGACGACGTGGCTCGGCCAGTTCCACAACGAAACTACCGTATATTTTCGACGCAGAGAGACACAGTTATACCATGTAACTTAACTTTTAGTTTTTCTTGTTCTCGCTCTCTCCCTCTATCCCTCCCTCTCTCTCTCTCACTCTCTCGCTCGCACTCTCTCTCTCTCGCTCGCACTCTCTCTCACTCTCCACTCCCACTCTCTCTTTCTCTCTTTGTTTTTCTCCCTCTCCCTCTCTCTCTCATGAAAACTGTCGTTAAAAAATATTTTTCAGATGTACACCGGAAGCCGCCTTGTCGATATGGCCCTCAATTTGACCCAAATCCCGACTGTTTTCTTGGTATAAGTTAAATTAAAATAAACTAAATTAAATTAAAATTAAATTAATTAAATACCATACTTCCAGATCGAAGGCGAGGGTTCGGTGTACGTTGACGTATACGCGCCGGATGTCACTCCTAGCGTACGTTTATTAAATCCCGGGAAACGCGGATAATTTTGATGCGGGAAGACGCGGGACACGATGTTTCATTTAGCATTTAATTAAATTCTAATATCTTAATATTATATTCTTAATATTATAATATATTATAGTTCGACTTTTTCAGCGCTACATTCCGTTTGGCTCCCCCGTACAGTACGGCGACACGCTGACGATCAACGGATTTGTGCAGCAGAACAGCTTTTCGTGTCGGTTTTCATACGGTTGTCCCCGCTTAATGTTTCGGTATTCTTTTGTTTTTTTTTTTTGTTCGGAAATCCTGAAATTCGGTTTGTAAACTTAATTTAAATAATGGTGAATTTTGCTAAACCTGAGATTTAATCATGTGTCTTTTGCTGTTAATCAAACATGTTTTTTAGCATTTTTAAATTATCTCATTTTTAATTAACATATTTATAATTGTAATCCGGCAGTTTAAAAAAATTTCAGCCTTTAAAATGCTTTAAAAAGTAAGATTCAATTAAGCTTTAAACCGCAATTTCGATATTTTTACATAGCAAATTGCAGATTAAAACTATTTGTTTCACACTGTCCCATTGGTGACACGAACTTGTTTGCCATAATAGAGTCATGTTTTTGCCTATCGCGTATTCTTATTGTCATCGATCTGGCTAAATCGCTTTGATTTTAGTGGAATTCTACAGCGCGATGAGCACGACGTCCGTCTGGAGGTTGTCTTTTGCCGGTATGCAAATTTACATGAAACTTGATTTTTTTTCGTTTGGAACAAAGACGAATGTTTCGTTCGTTTGTCATAACATCAATAAAAGAAATATTTATGCGCTGTTTTTTACTATTCTAAACTCAAAAATTTTTACCAAAACGACAATAATTAAAATTACAAAAGAGCATAAAAAATGGTTTTTGACTATGAATGGCCGATTTTTTTAGCGAAATTTCCAAATTTTACAGAATTTTTCGATACTTCCAACTGAGTTTTTGATATAGTTTGAATATATAAATTTGTTTGATTTTTTAGCTATTACTACTTCTATTTTTAATGAATTTGAATATAATTAAAAACATTTTTCAGGTAATTGTCAGAAATAGTCATTATTAAAATTTCCTCATTTAATGGAGGAATTCTGAAACTTTTAATTTTCGTCATTTTCACGTCCTGATTTCAGCTGGTCAGCCGAGTACGTTAAGGCTCACTACCGGCAGCACACTAATAGACAAAGCTAATCTGACGCAAAGTTGGGCACAGGTAATTTTAATATACCCTTTAGCCAATTTTTTAGGGCCAAACCATCGACGTCAATCTGCAGAATCTTGACGCGAACAATCTCGTAGTATCGCTAGTGGGCAATGTAAGTTTTATCCGAAACATGTAAGTTTAACTTTTTAAGTTTGACTTTATTTATTGTATCGATTTAAAGTTATTTTGGTCATGTCAAAATATTTTTGGAAATGGAAATATCAACCGTTTCTATAGAATTTACGGTGTTTTTGGATCTTATAGAGAGTTCACAAAAGAGAAAGTAAGAACAAGAATAAAAAATCTGAATTTTTTAATAGCTTCCTAGCAATTAAAAAGCGCATCTACGCTGTACCATTCCCGCGAAAGTTGCAGCCCTAACAAGAAAAATCTATGAAACAGCATTTCCTCGTACTTTCGCCCAAATTTTTTTGTTGATGTCCAGAAATGTCTAGTAACTTAATAGGAATTATTTTATCTGTGGTTTTACTAAAAAATATTCCATTTCCACTAGAAAAACCATCAAAAAAATTTTTAACAGTCGAAATTTTGGTCAAAAACGGCCATTTTTGGTCGAAAAGCTATATTTTTATATGTTTAACCGAAATTCTGTAAAATTTTCACGTTTAGGAATAGTAAAAAAGCATTTAGAAACAATTTCACTACTAAAATGTTGTTGTTTGTTCTTGTTTTTGTTGCATAATTTACACTTTAGAGCGTGACGCTAAAACAGCCATCCCCCCGACCCGTCCGCCCTGTATTTTGCGACCCGAGGAAACAACTTCGATTTGATGCTGCTGAAAATCACCGACAGTAATGGAATACAAAAATATGTTCCGTTAGTCGAATAAACGTACGACGTACAACCTTCCAGCAATCAACACCTGTCACCCCCTAGCCCTAACTTTTCAGCCATACGTCCTATTAATACCTGGAGTATCTCAAAATGTCCGCCGTGACCGAATTACTATAAAAACGTTGTTTCTTGACGCCAAAAATGCTAGACAAATTTTCTACGAGGTTTTTAAATGTGAAAATATTAAATCGCGGGCCTCAATGTACTACCGGTGAAACGAAAATATTTGTCACGATTTTTCGATTCAAGTGTACGCTAGGCGGATTCCAGAGAGCAAGAGCTACATTTTGGTACCATTAACAGCTCTGTAGGGCAAAAGATAGCCGAGATACGAAAAGTCACTTTGGAGCAGAAAAAATTAACTGTAGGTAATCCAGACTTCTAACTGTTGTAAAAATTATCTGTAATGTAGTTACTGTAATAAAACGTATTATTAAAATTAGTAAAGTAATAAAAATTATCTAGTAGTAAAATGGTAACAGTTAAAAAACTATTTTTTTTAAGGTGGTCCTTACAAGGTTACAAAGTGACGCTGACAGGGGAACAAGGGCAAACTAGCAGAGATTTTTAAGCGATAAAATCCGTGATGCAATTTTCTATAACCATTTATTACAATCTACACACACAGAAAATAGACAAGTGGCCGGCTGTCGAGTTATTTTAAATCCCATCATTCGTCTTCTCTCCTCCTCATGCTCCTTCTCCTGCTCATCCTCCTCCTCCGGGCCCATCCTTCTTCCGCGTCGACGTTGCCGCCGGCACCAGCTTCTGAAAAATAACGTTTCCAACACCTCCTAAATGCAAAATTTGCAATTCTATTGTTTGCCTGGTACAAAAAATGTTTCAAAAACTTCTGTAAATCCAAAAATTTCACCACCTCAATGAAATAGGGCTGTGGATAAAAATTACAAGTTTCAAAAAACTTTCAAATCTCTGGAAAATTCTGTTGTTGTACTAGCAAAAGCTGCAGCAAGTTTTCTTTCCAAAACAAAAAGGAGAATTTTGGGTCTTAATGTCTTATTATATTGCCATAAGCTTTAAAAATATTTGAATATTTTTTACTATGAACGACATTCACAACTATGCTATACCTTTGCCCTTGGGGACGACTCGTCGATGCTCTTCACCTGAAAACACAATAAAGACGGATGCCGCTACAGTATGCCGCGGGTTACCGCAAGCAGATCTGGCTTACTTTGATTTTGTCGAAAACAATTTTTGTCGAAAACCGTTTTGTCGAAAAAGCATTTTTCGAAATTTCATGCTGTCGAAATTTCGTTTTGTCGATATTTAAATTTTTCGCAATTCATTGTCTTTTTCTCGTCGATTATTCACCTTGAACATTCCGTAAATTCAAATTTCAGCGCATCGAAACGTCAACAAAAAGAAATTTCGATAAACTGGCGCCAAATCACCGGATCCGTATCAAAGCGTACGTCTTGACAAGTGTCGTCATCGCGGGCGCCCAGCTGCGCCAAGTTCGAGTTGGACTGCTCGCGGACGGCCATCTCGGCGCTTGACGTCTGCAACAGGGTCAGCGTGACTTTAAAGTGATGCGCCTCGGAAAATCTGTTATTATGCCTCTACGATATTTTTCTTTTGATGCAAACATGTTTTTCACATAAAAACAATCACGAAAGTAATTTTTTTAACTTATTATTAACGCAATGATAGTCAAAAAAATTAAAATTAACGTATTAAAAATACATTAAACCTTTTACAGCTTTTTTCGAACCAGAATTGCCAAGTGTTCGACTTTTTCAAAACATTTCTAAATTTTTTTCGAGTTTGGTTTCTTTAATATAGAAAACTTACTTGTAGTCGATTAGTAGGCCAAAAAATTCAAAAAATTTGGAATGTTTCAACGCAAATTGAAGTCACCGTTAAATCTCAAAAGTATTCCACTCGTCGCCGGTGATTTTATCAAGTTTTTTTGTCCAAAAAAGCGAACAAATTTCACAGAATTTCACACAGACCACCTAGGAATATGTGTAGCACTAGAAAATTTACTCAAGTTTTATATTTTTACATTTATTTATATTTACCCGTCTCGGCTGCTGCAGCTCGGCCGGGGCGACGAAGGCGAGCTGGTCAAGACGCGCGCTCGCCGCCAGCATTTGAACCTATAAATTGGCAGGTTTAACGTGAAGTTTTAGGAATTAAAAATATTAAACGAAAAAAAACGTACAGAGTACACCTCTGCGGTGGGCAACTCACGCGTCGTCGCCGTCAACGTGATCGCCGATGGGCCGCACGACGTTGCGACTGATAAAAACGGTGTAATCCGATCACAGTGTTCGAGGTGCTCGCTCGAAAATATTAATTCACGCCTTGTTACAGCCTTGAAACATTTATTTTTACGATCAAGATTTGAAAATTTTAGGTAGTCTAAAAATTGATAATAGTTAATAGAATTTAGAAGAAGTGTTTCTAGGCTATTTTTTGCAATGCTGAAACGAAAAATTACAATGAAAAATGCAAAACATTCGTTTTTCGACCAAACACGTGCATTTCGATCAAAATCTCCCCCCCGAAAGAAATTTTTCTAATTTTTTTTCTTTGTTTCCCGTTGAAATCCGGTTAAATTCCAGCAACAAAAATACTATTAAAAACCTACTATTACGTTACTAGACATTTCTCGATTTAGAGGAAAGAAAAATACCGTCCGTACCTTGACTTTGATAAGCGAGACTTGGCGCGGGCACGGTGACGCTGGCCGTGCTGCGGGTGGTAAGCTCCGATGCTGGGGCCGCTGCAAAAATAATGTATTTACTCTGCTTTTCCATTTTTTTTTTTGAAGTTTTAAGTACAATCGCATTAAATTATACTAAATCAAATTAAACTTTTTCAATCTCGCAACGAAATTAAATAGTTTATCAAATGAAGATACATTATGCCCTTTTTCTTGCGCTGACCTTCCACATTTCATGAAACTCACAATTTGTACCGGACTTTGTCTTCGACTGGCGCGAGGAGGGCGGATCTTCTGAAAGAAAGCGATGAATAATGCTTGAATACCACAATGAGAAAAATAAAACAAATGAAAAAGCCTAAAACATAAAATGCCCGGCACTGAACTGTTAGCTGGAGGGGGGGGGGTAGCAGGAGCACTATTTTTCCCCCAATAGTAGTTTTCCCAGTTTCTTAGAGCAATTGACAGCTTAAAATTTAAAATGTATTTTTTCCATATCAAAACCTCATGAAAACTTATAAAAGTGTTACACTTTTTGGTCAAAAATGCTTGAAAAGGCCAAAAAAAGTTTCGAATTTCAAAGATCTTCCTAATAATAAAAAACTACGAGGAGCCTTATCAAAATGCACCATTTATTATTAACAGGTAGTCGGAAAAACAAAAACTACCCCCGCTAACAGTGCAGTACCAAATTACCTTGAACGCGACGACGACGCCGGCGGCGGCTCTTCTTCTTTTTCTTGGGTTTGTCCTGCGGGGCCGGCGTAGCGGGCTGGAAAATTGGATTTTTCCAGTATTAAATTTACAGAATAAGGCTGTCTTTTAACTATACTATGTAACGTACCCCAGCAACAACAGGTTCGGGCTTCGGCGGCAGCACGCCGACGACGTTTAAGAGTTGAATGTCGAGCCGTGCATCACTAAAAGGGAATTGAAGAATATAATTTATTAACATCCAATTTAAATTGTTAACTTTAATATTAAAAATCTGGAAAACCTGAAACTGTTATACCGTAAAAATCTTAAAAACGTACCGCGTCATAATGCACATCATGTCATTGTTGTCCGGGTAGCCGTGCAGCGCACCAAAACTGCAGAAAATATCACGGTACTGGACTGTTAACGGGGGGGGGGCGCTAATTCCAACCTTTCACCGATTAATAATACATACTTTTAGTGAACATATAATGCATTCTAGTGTTTTTAAAAGTTTTGATCGCAGAGAAGTTATCAAAAATGTTTTAAAAATTTGAATTTTGGAATTTTCGGCATTTTTTGAAACATTTTTGACCGACAAGTGTTACTAAACCTTATGATTTACTAAAACCGCAGTCTGCAGAGAGTGTTTCGGAAAATGGAAAAGCTATATTTTAAGTACCTTAATGTCATCTTCAAATGCTTGTCGCCGGGGTCGAGCATGAACGCGTCGATGGTCGACATCCAGACGCGCGTGATTTCCTGGAAAATCGATTGGTACTGGGCTGTTAGCGGGGGTGGGGTGGTATCGGGCAGAGGGGGGGGAGGGGCGGATTAATTTGTATTGTTCCACCTACCTGTTAATAATAAATAACATACTTTTATGTTTTTCGTAACTTTTGATCGCTAGCGAATTGCAAAAAGTGGCTTGAACATTTTTGGAAATTGAAAATTTAGACCTTTTTGGCGATTTTTCATACATTTTTTTGCATCATAATGAAATGTTCTAATGATACCAATAATTTTTTGGGGTTTTATTGGATCGTGCGGAATTAATGAGAAAAATACCCCGCTAAAAGTCCTGGAAATTCGCACAAAACTATGTTTCAGCTGGAAAATAGGATGCAAGCTGTTGGAAAGCATTAATGTTGGCCACGTACCGCTGATTCATGAACCTTTATACTTTTTTGTGTTATAAACCTTCAAAGGCTGTAATATTTAATGGATTAAATTTTTATATAACGCATCAATAGTTTTAAAAATTTTGGAATTTTCATGTATAAATTTAAATTCATTTTTATTCTATCTGTATTTGTAAAATTTTCTTTTTATAAGTACCTTTCGGTGGCGGATCTCGATGGATGGCTGCACGATCATCCGGCCCAACAACGGCGCCATGTAGTCGGAAAATTGGAATAGAAAAAATAGAAGATAACTGAATACTGGGGGGTGTAAGAGTAAGAAATGACCCATTTTCCGTTGCCTTCCTCTTTCCGATACGTTTCGATAATTTATTCACCTCCCATATATGCAAATTATTATTGTAAAAAAGGGGAATTTTCATGTTTCATCCCCGCTTGTACTGCACCGGCTTTGCGCGGCCGCAGCGGAAGAACACAGCTTGCACCTAAAAAATAAACTGCGGATTTTTTTTCATTTTCCGTCTCTGCTAGCTTTTTAAAAATAAAGAGCCTATTATTATGGTGTTTTTAGAAATTTTCAATTGCTAGAAAATTACAAAAATATTCGAAACATTTGGTCATTTTTCATACATTTTTCAACAAAACCCCAATAATTTTCGCCAGTTGTTATATCTTTAACGCTTATTATATATAAAAACACTTTTGCAGACCTAGTTGTAAAATTAATGCGTAAAATGCTGTAAAAATAGTCTAGATTTCGTTAGAGGACCGTGCAGGATTACTCGGAGGAAAAAAATAAGGGGTCCTTCCGCCGTTAAAAGGAAAGACCGCAGTTCATTTGTAAGAATTTTTTATGTCATATTTTTTGTTTTCCAAGACTGATAAAATCGACATTGCAGCCGTTAAAATTTTGATGTTTCAATCTAAACAGTTCAGAAAACCGCGAAAAATCCGACAATTCTTGTTTAGATAGAACTTCTATCTTCTATATGAAGAAGTGACAACTATTCCTATTAATCTATTTAAATTTCGAACGTATCCTAAAATCATAAATAATAATATTATATAAATATGTATAATCCAATTTAGATGATTTTTCTATTGTCAATTCAGAAATGTTATCGAAAGCCGCGTATCCAAAGAGTTTTTCAAAATTCGCAGTCACAAAAAATTCGCCTTTTTCATCTCTTTTTACACAACGTTTATTTTGTTGACAAAATTGTATGCCTTTTTTATCAAGGCAAGCTAGCAGGGATTACTGAGGAGATGTGAAAACTCCTGGTTTTTCTTACCTCACGTGCCCTGGCGGCATTTCGCGCGTAACTCTGAATACTATCGCACGCGTACTCCCCATTCCGGACGATGATTTCGGCGGCGAAAAAGCCGCGCATGTTGAAGCCCTGGAAAGGGTCATAAAAAAATGTTTTACAAAGTTTGAAAAAAATAACCGTAGCCTTTCAAGCCTGGACAGCAATCGAGAGTGAAACACTTTTTCAAAAGAATTCGGCAATTTCAACTGCTATTAGCCCAATCCGGTCGTCTATCAGGTATTGGACTGTTGGCGGGGGAGTTGGCCAGCGGAATAAATTTTTAAATTTCCTCCTATACCTACATATCAGCATATCGTGTTTTTGTATTGTTTTTCGTAGTTTTTAATTGCTACGAAATTTAAAAAATATTTTTAGGACTTTAAAGCTTTTCTGAAGCTTTCAAAAATTTAAAATTTTGAACGCTTTTGGTCATTTTTCATACGTGTTTTGACGAAAAATCAAAAATTTTCAAAAAACTATCTATTTTTCCGCGCTTCTTCGATCTAAAAACTGCATAAAGTGCTATGAAAATGGTATTATCCTCGTTATAGAGCCATATGGAATCACTGGGGCTAAAGAAATCGCCTCCCGCCCCCCCGCTAAAAGAGCAGTATGCAATTTTTCCTAGGAAATGTTGAAAAGCGCATCACGTTTCCTAAAGAAATATATTTTCCTGAAACCGGTTTCCGTTTTTTCTTTAGTAGATGAAAATACTCACCCGAACGAAGGCGCCGCCACCTCCAAGCTTATTCACCTGAAATTTTCTATTGTAATTTTTATTTTTTATTTTTTATTTTTATTTAATTATTTATTTTGTCAGTTAATTTAATTTTGATTTTTTTATTCTATCGTTTATTGTTTTCTACCTTAACTTTAATTTTATTTAAAGTTTTGCGATCTTACCCTTTGGCGAACCGAGTTGGCCATCCACGCTTGCGATACGGGACTGTGAAGATATATCGTCTTCAGCACCACCACAGCATCTTTTCCGCTTCTTTTCTCGCGTGCCGCCGGGAACTCATCGTGTGAAATCTCGGCACCAACCTGAAAGAAAACGTGTTTCAAAAATTTGGATGATTCGCTCATCGTCAAAATTACATGATATAGCAGCTAAACCATTTAAAATTACAACAATTTAATGCGCCTTCAGTTTTTTTCGCTAGTATCATTTTTTTCTAATATAAATAGATCAACCGTTTCTAAACTCATTTTTCTATTCATTAACCTAAGAACTTTACAAACTGTTATTCAATAATTCTAAAACATCGACTTATCGACCAAAAATTTGAAGATCTTCTACGTTTTTAGAGCATTTTTCCAGTTTAAATATAGTTAAATTTTACGAAAAACGCCATTAAAATACATACGTACTATTACGTACTTTAAAAATCTTTGTAAAAACCAAATTTCGAGAAGACTCATTTTCGAGCAAAATTTGACATTTTTTTGTTGTTTTTAGATAGTTTTCCCAGTTTAAATAGTTAAATGTTGTTGCAAAAATACAATTAAAATACGGACTTTACGTAATTTTAAAATATTCTCTATAAATACACACTTAAAAAATTCTTCAAAAATATATAGGTCTTTCGAACAAAATTTTTCTTTCTAGGCAAGAGACAAAAACCCCTCGCCCCGTTAATGCCAAAGGAACTTCGCCAAAAACAACCCACAATGGGCCCGTCACTTTCGCCGCCAATCCAGCAGTACCAAAAGCTTACGCAGAACGCGATGCAGGTGATGATCAAGAGGCGACACCGGAAGGAGGAGGACATTCTTTGAAGTGACAGGATTCTGGGAAGCGGGAATACCATCTTCCACGGCCCGTCCAAGCACGCATCCGCTTTATAGCCATTGTAGCGGGGCGCACAATGTGTATTCCTCCCCTAAAGCCAACGCGCGCTCCAAAAATTCACAAGCCAAACACGCTGAAAAGGGGCTCGGCGGGGCCGTTAGGCCAAGATTGCAATTGGTTTTGGATGCGTGACGCGCCGGTAGGGGAGAAGATTGCGTGGCTTACAATTTCGGTACTGGACAGTTAGCAGGGGGGAGGGGGATTTTCACAGGGGGGATTTTTAGTAGGCTTTAGTACTTTCAGCCGTTAAAAGATCTAAACTATTTTGATCACATTTTTACACAGCTTTTAGATGTAAAAAGCTCCTAAAAACCGATAATTTCGAGAAATGACCAAGGTTAAAATTTGCTAATTTTTTGAAAAGGATTTTTAATAAATTTATGGCAATCAACAACTACCAAAAACGCTAAAAATCGGAAAATGAAAAGTAGCTTCCCTCCAATAAGTGCGACTTTCAAAAAATCTCCAAATTTTCGTCGAAAAATCGATCTTTCTTGATTTTTGGGTATCAAAATTGCAAAATTCTAGCGTTTAGGAATAGTAAAAACAAGTTAGAAAACTTCCGCTATTTACTTAGAACGTTTGGACCCTAAGGAAAACCGTCGAGCCTCGGATAATGCAAAAGCAGCATCTACCTACCGGTGGTATACCAGCCATCCTGCATTTGCCAAAGTCGGTCCCCGCGAATCTCAAGTGAAACTTCATAAAGTCTTCTCTCGAAATTAGACAGCTAGAGAACTAAAACAACTAGAAAACCACAATTTCCTGGGCTGGTACCAAAGTGCCGAAATTAGCCCCTATCTATTACCCCCTAGTCAAATGTTGACCACCCCCTAGTCAAACTATTACTAGGGGCTAATCATGCCACCATTCGCTAACTAGTAATTCAATACAAAAATACCTAGTCAGATCTTGACTACCCCTAGTCAAATTTTGATCACCCGCTGGTCAAAATGTGACTACCCCCTAGTCAAACCACTTCCTGGATGATTGGTAGTGGTAAAACGAAAGAAAATAAGGTGGAATTCTAGGGTAAAACCACTACCGAGCTTGACTACCCCTGGTCAAATTAATATGAAAGTTTCTTCATATTTCGTTTGACCAGGTGGTAATCCACACTTGCAAGGAAATTTTCTCCCCAAACGTCGAAACCGAGCGTTTTTGGGCTTAACCAATCGAAAATTCACGCCTTAATCTGCCCACGGCTCGTCAGGCCTTACCAAAAACGCACTTCTGGGGGTGCGGGCCCTCTCCCCGCGGATAGTGGGTTAACCTCCCAGGCGAGCCCCCCACACCCCCCGGGTTCGGTTCCTCTGCGGCGCGAACTCCCCCATTTTGGTAATCTTTGTTTTGCTTTTTGCTCCAATGTATCACCGTTCGTCTACTGTAACACAAAATTAAATCATACTCGCGAAAAAGCCCCAGAAAATTAGCAAAAAGCGGCCAGAACGCGTTTTAAAAACGAGAATCCAAAAACAGTTGCAATTTCGCTCCATAATCAGGTTTCAGGGTTGCTATTACATTTTTTTGGCTTAGTAACGATAATAAGTACGCTCTGATGCGTTTATTTGGCAAAATTAGGCTGCAGCAACGAAGCTCCTGCTCCAAGCGTCCAAGTGCCCGGCTATCTTAGCTATTTAGTCAATAGTAGGCTCATAATGCAGAAGTTTTTCGATTAATACTACATGCAATTGATATAGCTACCTAGAAAACCGCCATACAAGGCTCAAATCCTTCCGGCTGAGGTGCTAGCATCAAAACATTATGATCGCCATCGGACAAGGGTTTATCTTTTCCAGAACTTCCGTTATTAATTCAAAAGCATGTATCGTTCCTCCACCCAACATTTTAGCGAGATTTGATCGTATTTTGATAACAACAGGGTGAAAAACTAGCCATAAACCAGCTGGGTTGAAAATTTCGGGAACTTTAGGCTTCAAAATCTCCTTATTTTGGTGAGAACTCTCGTCGCGACCCACACAGTTCGATAGAGAATTTTTTTCTCTACCAAGTTCTCACGCCTCCCGAAGATTCGAAATAGTATACAAAAAGTTATTAGAAGAAAACGTAGATTTTCTGAGTTTTTAATATGGGCGGCGCCGCCCCACAGAGCCCGGGGGGCGATAGGCGTGCCCCGTACTAAAGTGCCCTTTGACGAGCCGTGTGCCGGTACTCCAAAATCTAGCATCCGAGGTAAATTTAGCGAGTTTTTATAATAAAAACCCATTTTTCTTTGACCAGCCCCCCTATCACCATTTTGCTAGGAGATGGTTTGACTAGGGGGTAGTCACATTTTGACCAGGGGGTGATCAAAATTTGACTAGGGGTAGTCAAGATTTGACTAGGTGTTTTTGTATTGAATTACTAGTTAGCGAATGGTGGCATGTATACTCTGCCATACCCCCAGGGGGTATACCCCCCATGGGGGTACAAAGGGGGTACGAGGTGGGGGTACAAAGGGGGTACGGGGTGGGGGTACAAAGGGGTACCCCACCCCCTACCCCACCCCCCACCCCCCAGCAACCCAACAGATTTTTTCCAGTTACCTCCCACACATACCACATATCGGTGGCTCGCAAAAAATTCAGGAAGACATGACGAAGTCCGCCGGAATTTCACCAAGGCAGTTAATAAAATACGAAACTTGAAGTAAACATTTTTTAAATTTTTGTGATTTTTTCCACTTAAAACATGTCTGAATTTTACTAAAGACATTATTGAAACTCTTACTATGACGTTACCAGGGGTTTCTGGGTTTATTTCAAAAAGATTGGTCCGCCGATAAACTTTCAACTTAAAAAAATGTTTAGTTTAAATTTGGTATTTTATTAACTGCCTTGCTACAATTCCAGCTGACTTCGTCATTTCTTTTTGTATTTTTGCGATCCACCGACATGTGGTATATGTGGGAGGTCGCTAGAGAAAAATTTTCTGTGCTACCGGGGTACCCCCATTTGTACCCCCACCCGTACCCCCTTTGTACCCCCACCCCGTACCCCCACCTCGTACCCCTTTTGTACCCCCATGGGGGGTATACCCCTTGGGGGTATGGCAGAGTATAGTGGCATGACTAGCCCCTAGTCATAGTTTGACTAGGGGGTAGTCAACATTTGACCAGTAGTGGTAAAATAAAATTTGGCACTTTGGTACCAGCCCTGAAAAACGTCTTTATTCCAAGCCCGGGCCATAAAGAAACCGCGACCATTGGGGGGATTTCTGTTAAGCTGATGAAAGGGAAACGAAACGCAATGCATCACAAAAACACACATGTTATAAACGGGTCAGGGGGGGCACAGATACAGAAATATATTATCTTTTTAGTGAGAGGGGGCTATACGGGGGGCGAGACTTCTAATAGATGATGATCACGTCGGGGAGGCGCTCACTTCTTGTTGCGAACTTCGCGGGGCGAGGCTTCGGGCTTGGCTTTCTAGAAAAAGATTATTTTCTGCTTTCCAAAAGACGAGTCCAACCTGCTCGCGCTCCGAGTGGGACGAGGCTTGGCTGATGGAATTGCTGGAGAGGCTCTCGTCCTCCCAGTCCCAGCGCTCGTACGCCTTCACGTTGTTCTCCTCGCGGGCCTAAAATAATAAATTTCTTTGAACTGCCGAAAAAGTTTCTAGATCGTTAGCGGGGGGTGGGGCTAAATTTATCTAAAAATTTTATATGTTGTATGAGCTTTTTCATATCGAAAACCTGTGCAAAAAACGCTGCAAAACCGAACTTTTTGTGAAAGTCTAGAAACGTCGAAAAGAAAAGAATATTATTAGGAACTGTTTCATTTGCAAAATATAACTAAATTTCGAGCGCAAAACCCTCTAAAAGCTTTTAAAAAATTTGAAAAAGTCGAATTTTGGTCGTAAAATCGATATTTTCGCGATTTTTTTTAGTAAAAATTTGTACATTTTTTTGCGTTTTCGAACACCAAAAAAAATTTAATAACACTTTCGCAATTTACATTCTCAAATTTAGATCCTAAGAAAAAAAAGTTGGTTCCCACCAATTATGCGAAAAACCAAAATCCAAATCCAACCAAATAAACCAAATCCAACAGTACAAAAAAAATATACCTCATCCAAAATCTTAAGCAAATGCGCGTAATCGGGGGCGCTGGTGAACACGAGCTCGTCGATGTACTTGAGCAGCACCGGGAACTGCTTGGGGCAGTTGACGAGGAACGTGGGCAAGCCGATCGGGGTGCGGGCCGCCTGTTTGGATAGAAGGACGGCCCCGCGGTCTGTGATCGTGCGCCACGGCAATTGTCCGTTGGTGAACTCGACGAGCATGTAGAACCATGACTCGAGATCGTCACGGCGAGAAAGGTCGGCGCGGTGATGGGCCTAAATCCGAAGTTGATACTAAAAAAACGGCATACCGTCAAACTTCCATAGCGTGTCGTTCCGCGCCAACCGACATCCGGCCGTGGCTGCACAATGTTGCCGTTCTGAAAATTGGATTATTTCGCATTATCGGGGTGGGGGGAACCTTTTTTTACAAGTGGAAATGCATGGAAACTTAATAGGAGGTCTTTAATAGTATTTTTAGTAACATAAAATTCTATTTAAACTAGAAACCTTCGAAAAGCCAACATTCCGGCCAAAAACGGCCTTTTTCGGTCGAAAAATTCGATATTTTTAATTCTAAAATGAAGACTTGTAGTTTTTACGTTTAGGAAGACCACCAAAACAATTTAGAAAACACTTCCCTAAATATTTTAGCAAGGTTCTATCCTTAGAAAAAGTTACTTTTCCCCGGCCGATAAAGCGAAAGAATCAAAAAAAAATATGAGGAGTTTTGGACTTTTTTATCATGAATCATGAATGAAAAACTGCGCAAATTTCAGATTAGGATAAATTCTTAGTAATCGGATAATACTAAACCAAAACAATAGCCTATAAATTCTATTTTTGAGGATAGGCCAGAATAAAGGCAAGCCGCTAGTCCCGCTAGCAAAACAAAACCATAAAAAATTACCGAATCAAGGTATTTTCTGGCCAGTCCAAAGTCGTATAGAAAGATGAGCTTGTTCTGCTTGTTTTCTCGAAGCCCGGGGGCAAAGTTGCCGGGCTTGATGTCGCGTGAGAGGAAGCCGAGACGGTGCAGCTCTTCGATGCCCTTCAACGTGTGCACGCCGATGCGGAGGGCGGTGGAGAGCGTGAATCGCCGGTCCTTCATCTCGTTCCGCGCCTTGTGCAGATCACGGCCGAGCAGCGTCATCACGATGAACACGTACTCCTTGCCGACGGATCCCTAAATAAAAAGAATTTGTTGAACCTCAAAAAAGACTCACGTGGGCGACGCGCTCGCAGAAGTGCTTGCACTTTTGTTCGGCAGCGTGTAGAAGCACGTTAACCTCGACGTGGAGCATCGAACGGCTGTACTTCTCGCATTTCACGGCGAGTTTCCTGAAATAAAAATCGGTACTGGGCTGTTAGCGGTCTGGAAAAAGTAGCAAGCCTTAGGCTGCCTAGTTTCGCCGGTTCTTTCGCATTAACTTTTTTCTTAGCGTTTAATTTTTCCAATATAAGTAGAGTAAGTTTTTATACTGTTTTTTACTAATCCTAAACGTTGAAACTTGACAAATTGTATTGAAATCATACCAAAATATTGGTTTTTCGACCGAAAATCGCGGACTTTTGACAAAAATGTCGAGTTTTGTAAAGGTTTTAGATAGGTTTTTCTAGTTGAAGTCGTATTTTTTTACTGAAAACACTCGGGAAAAGCCCCTAAAAACTTTCTAAAAAACCCTTATTTGCATCTCAGTCTTTCCTCGAAATTTATCTATTATTTCATTACCCTAAACACATTAAATTTTCATGCATTTTTGATCCCAAAAATCAAAATGTTGAACATTTTAACAAGTTTTTGGTCTTTCGATACTCAAAACGGCCTGAAAATCCACATAAATCGTCGGAATTTCGCCGTTCAAGCATACCAAGGGGATGTTAGGCGAAAGGTACCCCCCACTAACAGTCCAGTCCCTGAAAGCTGAGCGCAAAAGCTCACCTTGTCCCATCCGAGCTCAGAAATACTTGTCCGTAGCCGCCGTCGCCGATCACCGAATCCAATTTAAAGCTGGAACAAAAAATTGGGACACCGAAGACATGGATTCACCTGAGCCCGTTGATGTGGATGACGTCGCCAGCCTGTGGCAATTTGTCGACCGGTTGACTGCCCTGGTTGTTTGGCGGCGGCTGTTCGCCCATTCGGGTCGCAGGCTAGAAATTTGGAAATTTGCATAACCCCCTAAAAACCAACCTGTAAGATCGGGGGATCGAGCGGTCCCTGACGCCCGGGCTTGGAAATGGAGTGGCAACACCACCTGGGTGAAGCATATCGCCGGAAAGGAGAAGCTGGAATATTCAAATTAGTCGTTGGAATCTAAAATTCGATGGGAAGTGACAAAGAAAACGGACAAGATGTGAAAAACAGGCCAAAATAGGGTCTTGAATAAAGTAACGGGCGCTAGAGGGGCGATATTTTTAACATTCTGATTTCTGCATAGGTGTAGAAATGCCAAGTAACTTACTAGGAAGTATTTTAATAATTCTTTTATGTAACTTTTGGTCAGAAAAATCGGAATTTTTCGGTCGATAAATTGATATTTCTTGTACGTTTTTAATAAAACTAAGGTTTCAAAGTTTAGGCATCGTAAAAATTATTTTGGAAACGTTCTTTTGTTTTCATTGGTAAAATTCGATCCTAAGGGAAAACGTTGGGTCACCCGATAATGCGAAAGAACCAAATATTAAAATATCAAAAAATATCAATTCATTCGATTTTTTACAAAATTTCTAAAAAGTTAATCTTTTAGCTATGGTATTTTTAATTTTTTAACTGTAGGTGTAGTACGGGATGATACTTTGCACGTACAACCCGTGCACAACCCCGACAATCGATGCCCGTGAGGGCGCACGGCCGGCGCGCGGGAGCCCGATTTTCAAATATCTAATCCCATCCCTTTCTTTTGCCTCTTCAATACTAAAAATCTTTTCAACTTTTAAACTATATAAACTCCATATTTAGCTTGCTACAAGCGACATCGTTTGCTCAAGGCTCCATGGCTCGACCGACTAAAATCAGGGTTAGTTACACATCTAAAGCTTTGCAACCAAAAACCTGTCTAGAGCACAATCGGGAAAGGCCGCGCCGGAGGTTCCAACCTTTCCGTGTTACCGGAACGAGAAGAGGAAGAGGAGAATGATCTGCCCGAGACGCCGCTCGAGCAATTGACCAAGGCCTTGCAAGGGAAATGCACGGTTTGCTGGCTTTTCTGCAATGAATTTTCCTGGTTTAGAAAACGCAAGTGAAGAAGCTGTATGCATCACGAATGGCGCTTGCGGACAGTTCGAATTTCGATCTGATGCGTCGCGCCTTTTTCAAAGGGGATTTCATTTCTGTGCCTGAAGGTAAAAAAAGTACAGCGTGTTTTCTCTAAAAACGTATTTTTAGGTGCCAAGCTATGCGGCCTATTCGTGAGCAGCTGTCTCGACCATTTTGAGCAATTGATCGAGACGATTGTCCTAGCAAAACCTACAACGTATGGAAAAGCGCTTCTTTCGCATTATCGGGGCGAAGGCGTTCTTTTTGTTTCTAAACGGTTTTTAGTAAAAAAAAAGTAAAAACTTTTTACTAACCCTAAACGTCAAACCTTCACAAAAAAAATTCACCACCCCCGATAATGCGAATGAATCGGAAAAGCTATCGTGCATGGAATATCATTTTTAGTGGTCAGCTGCACGGCATCGGCACCGCTCTGATCCACGCCTGGAAGATGGCCGAGGCAAATCAGGCTGATCTTGAGTAAGCGTGTAAAATTTTACACAACTCTCTTTTAGTCTGCAAAAAAATTGAAGACGTCTGGCAAACAATCCTTCGTATGTCCGTGCTGGTGGATGACGAAAAGATACGCAAGGCATACTATGAGGTGGGATTTTCTTTTCCATTTCTCTGAATCTAAATCTTGAGATCACAAAACCGCTGGACACGGAGGATCGTGGCAAAATCGAGCCGATGCTGAAGATTATTCTCAACCGCGAGCTGACGATGCACATGAGGGTGAATTAATTCTCACATTTTTGTTTTTATGCTATTTCTAGGCGCTCAACCACAAGGTGCGCTATACGGTGATGCAGTACGTCTACCGGTTCTTCACGATTTTCCCGGAGGATGCTGAGGTGAGAATTTGCGGTGTTGCGCGTACTTTTGAGTTTTTTTTTTCAGGAGATGACCACCGTCGTTCTCGAGCATCTAAACGACGAATCCGTCGAGATCCGCTCGCAGGCCATGATGCAGTGCATGATCTGCGTTGATCAGTGCTGGCGACTATTGAGCAAACGCGAATTTATTCAGCCCATCTTCGCAAAGGTATCGAATCGGTTGATAAAGAGCTATTTCCGGTTTCTTGGGATGGTCGCCAGCTTGTCTTTGTTCGTCCCAGATAGGCCTAGGAAAACTTTGGTATATTTAAGTGGTGTTTCCAGTAGTGTCCAATAACGAAAATTGATCAAACAATCTAAAATTAGAAGTTTTTCTCATTCTGGGCCGTTTTTCATACATTTTCGAAAAAAAACCTTGCGTAGCTCGCAATCTCCAAAATAGCCTAGATTTGATTATTGGCTTTCCACGGGAATATAAGGAAAAAAATCAAGCCCTGAAGCACGAATTAAATTTTATAGCTAATTTTAGATCATTGACGAAATGTCGCGCGATCGCAGCCCGAAGGTGCGCGCAGCTGTCTACAAGGCCCTGCGTCCGTTGCTGACGAATGCCGCCGCAATGAATGTCGTCGAGCATGCCCTGAAATGCGTGGTGCCCCACGGATTGGCCGATCGAAGCGAAAAGGTTGTGCCACGCCTTTTCCACCTTCATACCTCAATTTCAGGTCCGACTCGCCTGCTTCCAATTCCTCAATTTGATCCGCGACCATCGTTTTATCAGAGTAAGTCGTCCGCTGCTTTCCAAAATATTCTTTTAGTTCTACGACGTTGCCGACGTGTCGCTGATCCTGGCGTGCGCCGAGTTGGAGACGGACAAGAAGGTCCAGGAGCAGATTGTTGGGCTGATCCAGAAGGTATAAAATCTTTTAGTCTTTTCAAGGTACCGTTTTTTGTAGTCCTTTCTGCCGGTCGAGGTTCGTTTCGCCATGTTTCATCTCGTCGAATTTTCCTTTGACCGAATTTCGCCTCGCCGAATACTGTTTATGAATGATGAGTAGAATATTTAGTTGCTCTAGTGGCTAAAACAACGACTTTACCAGGATTGAATTCCTTCCTTTAGCCCTCTCACATAGGTGAATAAGTTTTACAATTTTTCTATTTACAAAAGTGATCAAAACTTGACCGAAAGCGAATTATCATTCATGAAGAGTATTCAGCGAGATTAAATTTGCCTAGATGAAGATTCGACGAAAAGAAATGGGGCGTGATGAAATTTAGGGAAAAATAGATACTTTAACGACAGAAACAAGAGAAATGTTTTTTAGTCGTTCCTGCCAGCAGGCGCCCTATTCGACGAGTGGATTCGACGCCAAAAGCGGCTGATCAAGGAGGGTGGACGGAGGGCGCTCGTCACCTTCTACCAGCACATCTACACCCTCGGCTTCATCACCCTCGAGAAAGCCGGTATTCACTTACTTTTTGAAGTTATTTTTCATCTTTTCAGCCAATCTCTTCGTGCATGTGCTGGGTCGATACCTCTACCAGCGCTGGAAGGACAACTCGGTGCCCGGGGTCGACATCTCGCAGCTTTCCCTTGATGACAGCATTTTGCTCCCCGAAAAGGACGCCGATTTTGACGACGACGACGAGGACATGGACAAGGAGAATCAGGGCGAGAAGAAACGTTGGTTTTTTATTTGTGGGAATTGATCAAAAAATTTTGTTATTTCTGTATTTCTATTTCTATTTGAACAAAAACAGCATTGCGATTTTCTCAAAGAATATTTCATGTTGCCGTTAGAGTGGTGGGAAAAACTAAAACCACTACAAAAAACACATAAAAATTCGTGCCTTGCTCTCCAGCTAACATGAAGGGATTTGGATTGACAATGTATACGTATTTTCAGCACTGATGGAACGCCCGGGATTCGACGTCGACCTGGCCTTCTTCGAAGCCGCGCTCGCGCTGTGGAAATCGATGCAAAAGGTACGATTTCTCCTTTGGCTCCGAATTTTGTGTTTAGGACCTCAAGGGCCTGCCCGAGAAGGAAGCGCATGTCGAGAACGTCGCGTTTCACTTTTTCGAGAAAATCTACGCAAAATATAGGGTTTGTAGCTTTTTGTAGTAATTCGATGTTGTTTTTTTTGAGGAAACGGCGCTTGTGGGCGTGAATCTGGCGATGGGACTGCTGTTCCGTAGAAAGGACCGACGGCTCGCGATACTGAGTGTGGCCAGGCAGTCGTTGACGGATTTGAGGTGATTTTTTTTTAGAAAACGGTGATTTTAACTTGTAAGTTATTTAGTGCGCCTTTATAGTGGTATTTTTACACTTTATTGTTAGAAATTTGTGATGAATTTTAGACAAAAAGCAAAAAAACCTGGTAAAAATAACTGATAAAGAACCTGAAAAACGATTTCTAATCTTGTTTTATGTCACGCATTTCCTTGCAGGAACGGCAAACTCGAGCCCACATATTACGGCAACTACGTGGTCTTCATCTGGACGTTTGTGCCCGACGATTTGCTGGAATCCATAGTACATGGTGCGTTTTTGAAGGTTACGTCTATACCTATCATTTTAGACATTGAGTCACTGACCGGCTACCTGTCGCCGGAGCATCGCGGAGAGCCAACACCGAAGAAGCGGAAAGGAGAGGCGGAGAAGTCGCCGCGGGAATGCATAGAGCGGGTAAGTTTTGTAACGATATTCTTAGCATGATATTTGAGCACGATATTGATTTGAGAACGGGTTTCTTTCGAAATGTCGAGATTTGCATAGGCTTGTTTTCCCGGAAAAACCACCAAACCCTATGAAAAAAATTTGCGATTTTATGAAATTTCCACAATATGAAGTTCGACATTGTGTTTTTCGACATTATGATAACGAATCGAGTTGAACAGCACAGCATCGACTTAAAAGTACCTTTCCAGGCATGCCAAATCTTCTTCTACCTCACCCAGACGAAACGCGTCAGCGCCGAAATGTTCACCGAGCACGCGGCGCCGCTGAGGAAAATCTACCAGGTGAGTCGATTGTCGAAAATTCAAGTTTCCAACGTTTTTTTAGAACCTCTGCGCCGCGATGCCGAACTTGCTCGACAAGTTGGTGCCGGACTACAGCGACGAAGAAGACCCCGGGCGCTCCGACTCCAACGAGACGTGCATGAAGCTGGTCGAGGTAAGGCTTGGCTTCTGCGTAGTCTGTAGCCCTGGATTTTTAGATGTTCTGGGTACTGTTCGAAATGCTGGTGGCCGCCGAGCTCGCCTCCGACCGCAACCCGGAAAGCCAGGCTAACAAGGTTCTCGAGTCGTTCGAGCAGCTGCGCGAGTTCTACGAGTGAGCTTTTTCGAGAAAATTATTTTTTGGGTGCAATTTTGATTGAGTAGGCTCGCAAAATTTTAGGGCGGTTTTAACCAGTTTTAATTTTTTAGCGCTTTCGGCTGCTCGGAACGTTTCCGAAAACAGTACAAAGTTTAAAAAGAAGCGTTTTAGCGCCTGTGGATTTTGCATGCAATTTTGATAACAGATTTTGGGTCGATTGTGATAAACTGTAGCTCATTCTATAGTTTTTTCAAATGGTCCTTTTTGCAGCTCGCTGACCATCAACTACGTGCACAACATGCAGCGGCTGATGGACAACCAGGACACGCAGTGGCTGACCGCGCACAAGTTGTTCAAGGTTTGTCTTTGCACTTATTTACACGGATTTTCGTTTTTTTAGCTGTTCCTCAGCCCGAAGGTGGTCGAGTTCGTGGTGGGTCTGGCCCAGGTGAAGGAAAAGTGGTGCGGAAAGACGGTGGCCCTTGAGGACTCGAATCTGAGAAGCCCGGATGGTGAGTGAACTTTTTTCGGTATGAAAACGTGGAAAGCGTTTTTAAAATCGGTTAAAACGATTGTAAGAAATTTTAAACTGTTCTGAAGGTTTTTCGCAAAATTTTGGAGCAGCTCGAATTTTTTGCCTGAAATTTAAAAATGCGTGTTTTTTACAAAATGTACGAAAAGAGAAACTATCTCGAAATTGATTTACTACCGCTGGTGTCTCTGAAGTAAAAGCACACACTTAGTTAAACTTTTAAAATATTTTTATTTGAACGTTTCTAAATTCATTTTATTGAAATTGAATTTTTAAAGCCAACGTTGATGGTGCGTTTTAGAAGTATGCGAGGGTATGATCCAGTCGTGCTGTGAGGTGGCGATCGCCCTCATCGATGCGGATGCCCACGAAAATCAGCTTCAACTTGTCCTCGAGACGATCAAGCACATGAATCCCATCAAGGTATGAGGATTTTGTTTCTGTTAAAAACTTGCTCTCTCGTTCAGGGCATGGACCTCTACCGGCGCTCCTACGAAAAGCTGGCCAAAGCCCTCGAGGCGAAATTCATAGAATGGGTGTGGTCGGTGCGGCAATTCCTCACCGGCGAACGTGAGTATTTTCTCTTCGATTTTTAATGAGCATTTGAATATTATAATCTTGATTTTAGTGGCCACGCTGTGCTGCCATTTCCTGGTCTTCGTCTTCGACGCCGACTGGACCGACCCGACCTACAAGGACAAGGTATTTTTGGGTGCCAAGCTAGTTACATCCTTTTCCAGTACCTACGCCATCTGCTGCGCATCATGATCAAGGACTTGCTGGCCGGACTGGATCAGGTGGGTTGTTGATGATTTCTCGATTCTGATTCCTTAGCGGGGGGGGGGGAGTTGGCTTCTCAAGGTTTCCTATATCGAAATTTTCTCGCTTATGGGATAGGATAAAATCTATTTAATCGAATTTTCGGCTCTGTTTGGATAGCGAATTGATCAAAAAAGTACGAGATTTGCGAAAGATATTGGCTTCGTCAAAAATTGAAGTTTTTGAATAATCACTTTTTAGCAATATTAAGCTAAGAAAACGGTACCAAAGTGGTTTTTTTAATTGCTATGCAGGTTTGCCCCCTCCCCCCCCCCCGCTAACGAACCAGGACCTACCTATTCATCGAAAACTTTTGTTTCAGAACCACGACATCATCGACCCGTACGACCGCGATTTCGAGCTGAGCCCCCTCATCCGATTTTGCGTCCAGCGTGCCAGCCCCAGAATCCGCGAGTTCAAGTTAGTTTCCAGTTGCGAAAGGAATTTCCTTTTTTAGGCAGCTGAATTCGATGCTTCACGAGCTCGTCGCGTGCAACACGAAGGAGAAGGACTACATACCCATCGACAATCCGGATCTCGACGCGCTGGCAATGCGGTGAGCAGTACGAAGTTAATTTGAGGCGTTAGGAAAAGGGAGCGTTAGCGTATGGAAGTCCGCTTATGAAATAGATTTTTACCTGGAGGGTTAGAATTTTCTAATCTGAAATTTATGTAATTCTAATTTTTTGACTTTCGCATCCCTTTTCATGTGTTTTTTCAGACTTATCGCCGCCCTGGAGCTGGCCTGCATCCTCGACACCAAGTACACCGCCAAACGAAAAGCGAAAGCTCGTGGCAAGCCAATCGAAGATGTCAGCTCATCGTTACTGAATTGTAGGACTTTAATTTTACACATTTTCTTGTGATTTTAGATAATCATGACTCCGACTACGTGACCGAAATGAAGAAGCTGATCCGGCTCAGGTTGCAAGAACTCATCGAACGGGATGGCACGGTAAACAAATTTTATGGTACTTTCGCACCATCGGGGGTGAGGATCGAACTTTTTGTATCATTCGTGAAATGCCTTGTCACTCACTAGGAAGTGTAGTGTTAGTTTCAGTATTGATTTCAACAGGGAAAACTAACTGAAACCTTTCAAAAAGTTTTGAAAAAAATCGAAATTTGAGCGAAAAGTGGACTTTTGAGGTCGAAAACCCAATATTTTTGACGTTTTTAACAAAATTTGTTGAGTTTTCACGTTTAGGAATCGTAAAAACCCGTTTAGTCCACAAATTTTATTTGAAAAATTCGATGCTAAGAAAAAATTGGCAATTTTGTTCCAAAATCTATATTTGTTTTGTTTAGTCAAATTCGTATATTCCCGATATTCCGAAAGCATAAATTTTCACAATGTTTAATTATTCTTTCCAGGAAGTCGTCAACAGCGAACGCGAAGTGGAAGAAGCCCGATTCATGGACCCCCGGCTGTTAGATCAGGTGAGGACATTTTTACTCTTTATTTTGGTCCTATTTCATTTTTGTTCTAACCCTTCAATTTCAGTTGAAAGCCCTGTGCGACTACGAGGAACCGACGGCCTTCTGAGAAGCCGTCTCGACTTGCCCTGTCCGTCTCCTCAAAATTGAACATTGCCACTTATTCGTAATTCAATTGCTCACCCCCTTGGCCTCCCATTTGGAAATATTTGTTGTTTGACTCGTGAACTACCTGATTCCCACTATTTATTTGATCTCTCGACTCGACGATACATATATACACTGAAATAAATACATATGAAACCGTTGAGTTGGCTTTGACTCCACTTTCGGCCGCAAGAACCGATTGAATTCTTTCAATGACTACAAATTAAAAATTAAATTTTGGTCGAATACAGACTAAAAATTCGCAATTTTGGTCGAAAACCTTACTTTTTGGATCTTTTACGTCGAATTTTTAAAGGAGAAATTTACGTTTAGGAGTAGTAAATACAATTTGGAAACAACACAATTGTATTGGCTAGTAAGGAAAAAGCTTAGCCCCCTGATAATGCGCAAGAACCCAAAATTAACAAATCTGCACAATTGGTTAAAAAAATCAATAGCGGAACCCAGGAAAGCACTTATCAACCGTTTCATTTTAAAAATAGGTCCTTTTGCAGATGTCAGACCGTGTCACCCAACTACAAGAAGCCGTCAACGAGCTGGCGAACCTGATGGGCAACTCGATCGGCGTCTTACAAGCCATTGCCCCACCCTGTGAGCTGGGCGGAACATCACAAGTAACGCCAAGATTCCCATAATGTGTATTTTCGATTTAGGAAATCGACACCGAGTCCAACTGCGAATTGTTCGCCAAGCTGATCGCGCAAACGACGAAGGATATTGAGGTATCTGTTTGTGTGTAAGATCCAAAATTTCTTCCTTCCAGATTCTCATCGACACGTTCCCCAGCGAGGGTGTCTCGACGGCCGAAATCAACGAGCAGATGGTTCGGAAAGACCATGACAAGATGAAGGTTTGTCGTTTGTTTGGTGCTGGTTCGTTAGCGGGGGCGGGGTTATTGTCCCAAGTTTTTCGTTATTTTTTTCGGGATGTCTATTCCGTGATCCAATAGAGTTTGTTTACAGCTCAAAATGCTGTAATCTAAAGTAGTTATGGCAAGGACGGCCTTTAAAAATGGGGTTTGCAGGCTAACTTTCGAGATTTTTGCCATTTTTCGGCATTATTTAACGCCATTCGATAGAGAATCAAAAAAATAAACTAAAAGGCTTAATTACAGCTGAAAATAACACAACCTGAATACCAGAGCAAAGAACAAGCCATTGGAAATGCCCCCCCCGCTAACGAGCCATAAACGTTTGTTATAGAGGTTTCTATCAACTTTTTCTAGCTAATGCGAGAACTGGAGGCGAGCGTCGACGACGCGGAACGGTTGTCCAAGTCGCTGGAGCAGAAGCTAAGCAAGATAGCCCAAGTTCAAGTGCAAAGCCGGCCGCATTGACGAGCCATTGAATATTGGATGTCGTGATTTCTCGTGGATCTTGATCCGTAACTGTTTTCCGTCTGTGATCTCTTTTCTTGTACATCCGTATTAATTTGGTATTTTGTGTATGACCCTACCTAATAAAGATTTTCTCTTCCGGATTTTGGAATTGAAGACAACAGATCTAAATATTTACACAAGAAAGATTTGCATTGATGATTCGCATCTGAAAATCTTATTTGAATAGGTTTTCGAGTATAAAGGCAGCTACCGGACCTATTGCCCGGCATTCTACACCTTCGCGATGCAAAAGAAGCGCACGGGCAAGAGGCGGACGAAGCCGAGCAAGGAGGACGAGGAGCGCTCCGACGAGGATCACGACGACCAGAAGGAGAAGGCGCCGTCCGTCGGCGAGAGGAGGCGCCATGGACGCGCCAAGAAGAGGGCCAGCGCCACCAATGCCGGCAACGGCAGCAAGGAGGGGCAGCGTGGGTTTAATGCTTCTTTCCGCTTCTATATTCCTTTTTAGGTTCCGGAAAAGGGCCTGCGCCATCGCCTGCCGAGCCGCTGAACCCGTTGCTGGGGCCGGTGACGCCCAGCGATCCGATCACCGTAGGGATTGATGCGTGGGTGAAGCAGACGTTGGCTACAGGTATGCATGCCCACTTTTTTTATTTTGTGTATAGCGAAAAAGAATGAAAGACGCGAATTGAGTCGTTTCGAACGTTTTTCAGGTCAATTTTCCGAAATTTTTGGCCAAAGGTCAAAAGTTTTTGTAAGTTTTTATGAGCTGTTCACGCCAAAATTGCTATAAAATCGTTTCTATTTTGTTATGGGACCGCAGAGGCTGCTAGCAGTCTAGTGCCCATATAAGCATGGCATTTCGCGTAAAATTGTTTTAGAACTTTCGAAGTGCTGACCTTGATTAGAGTGCATTTTACCCCCCCCCCCCCCAGCCGGCACCCACCTACCGTATCTCGGCTCCCTGTTCATCTTCAGGTGTGTAAAATATACCAAAATGTTCATCTTGCACTGGCGAGTATTTTGGTATACTTTACACACCTGTAGATGAACAGGGAGCCGAGATACGGTATGTGGGGGTCGGCTGGGGGGTAAACTGCACTGATCTTTCCTAAATGATCCCTTTTATCGCTTAAAGCTTTGCGAATTATTCTTGATATACCAGGGTTGAAAAGCCGCTTCGCGACTTTTCAACCCTGGCCCCGTCCAACCCCATCATATTCTTCGCTCTGCATACGTCTCTCGAATGCCTTGCATTGAAAAAATGCAAAAGCCCTTCTCTCGCATTATATATAGGTCAACGCCACTTCCGGAGTATGCTAATTTTTCCTAACAAAGAGATCGGTCGCTTTTTCAACAACGCGCGTCAAGCTGACGCCCGAGGTGCCCGGCGAGGGCGATTACATACATGCTAATTGGTGTGGGGTAGACTGGTTTTCGCGGAATCCATAAAAAACGGCCTTTTCTGCGCTCCATGAAAGTAGCGCAGAAAGATGCGCCATATTTTTTTTACGTCGATACATGTGTCGTTTACCCGAAAACCAGCTCCCCTCCTCTTGCTACAACGCGTTTTATACGCCAAAAACGCGCCAAAAATGGCCCCCAAAAATACAAAAACCTCTGATTTGGAAAAATAAAAACAACAGATCGCATCTAGAAGACGAGCTGAAGCGATTGCAAAAAAAAGCCCGGTTGAAAAACCGCTTCGCGGCTTTTCAACCCTGGCCCGTCTAGGACCTGTGAAAGTCTTCGATTTGCATGCTTCTTCCCGAATTCTAGCATGAAAAATCTGAAAAGCACGCCCCCTTCCTTTTTATAAGTCATCTCTAAATGCTAATTGATTCCTAACAAAGAGGATGGCCCAGAATTTTAGAAAAACCTAATATTAATGTCGAAAACAGAACCTTTTCCAAAATCTGTTAAGTGTGCAGTCGTTCCAAGGCCATTACGCACCGAATGACGTATCAAGCACCCCCGTAGCTGCCCTCCTTCATCAGATACCTTTGGAACAACCTGACGCAAGTTGCATGCAAATGCACACACACACAGGAACTATTTTTTATATATAGTAGGATAAACTGATTTTGTGGCAAGAGTCGTCAAAATATAGTTCTCCTCAGGAACTTTAATATATGAGTTCAAAAAAACCATTAAAAACCTCCCCAGGGTGGTATAAATAAGTTAAAACAGTTTGAAAGGGCACCGGGGAGTGGGGGTGGGGCGGGGGTACCGTATGCCTGGGGGCGCGCAATAGCGGGACGGGGGCAGACGTGTGTAGGATTGGGGACCCGTAGTGTTATCCGGTTTTTGCTTTATTGGTGGTTTGTCCGTAGCATTTCCGCGCGGATCCATCCACATGTTTGATAAAATGGACTTGGGGAAAAAGAAATCTAATCAAAGCGTATACTTTATTCGCATTTGTTGGGCTTTTCCAGTAAAAAAATCACGTTTGGCCCTTATTTATACTAAAAAAATAAATAATAACCTTATTTATATTTAACTTGTTTCTCTAGGATTTCGACAAGCAAATGATATATAAAAGCACAAAACTTTTATAAAGTAGTGTATTCAGAAGAAGCCAGGCTAATTAGCTGAAAAAAAACATATATCTTGCGAAAAACGGGCCTATCCAGGGTATAATTTAAGCTTTAGACGACTTTAGTTAGCACCAACTATTTTTAAAACTATGAAAAGCAATGAAAACGGCTATTTTGTACGCCTTTTCTCTTTTTTCTTGCGAAAGTTGCTCAAATGTCGTTTTGGACGGTTTGCTTAAAAGTCGTTGCTAACCTGTCATGGTCCCAAATTTTTTAATTAAAATTGTGTGGTTTTTATGATTAGGAATTGACTATTCTCACAGCGCTGATACCAAATTTAACCCAGCCCATCCCTAACTTATTCCCGGGAGGCAGATTATTTTCCTGTGATTTCTTTCCTCTTCCTCCGTGTTCTTTTGTTCTATAAATGTAACTTTAACGTTGATTTTCAGGTTAATTAATGTCGACACAGTGGCACGAAATCGGCTCTAAACGGTGCGGCCCGCTCGAGGATGGGAGCTGGATCCAGCGATTCAGAAATGTGAGCGCTTTCTCGAAAATTTCAACCCCGCTTTTTAGATGGTGGAAGAATGGTTCAAAAAGGGCAAGTCGGTCGGTAGCGTACGCACCATCACCGAAATAAACGCCGACCACGAGATGTTCGAGCTTTTGAAGCGGAATTTGTTGCTGACCGCAAATTCGGATGCGGAGCTGCGCGCACGGAAATTGGTCCCAGAGGAGCCGGACGTCAATGGAGTCTTCTACGAGTTGCTGGTCGTTAAAAGTTGGTTTTTTCTTATTCTGGAGAAGGACATTGGCGATTGTGGCGTTTTGTGGCTGTTTTTAAACGTTTTCTTCAGCATGCGCCCTCGCCATCGGCGCGAGCTTTAATCCGAACCCGCCATCTGAAGAGTCGCTTCCGCTGCAGCACCCCTACGAAGTGCAATTCCAAGAGGACGGCGTCGGAGGGTAGCTTAATGCTTGCTTCATTTATTTTCGATTTAGTGGCGACTTCTTCTTGTTTGCCAGTCCCGAGACCTCCGCGCACCAGTTGACGTGGCTCAAGGAGCACGTATACCCGACCCTGGTACATACATGTTGCACTGCTGAAAATCTCTTTAGGAGGCCTTGCTTTTGTGCGAGCCGTCGGCCCCAATTGCGACTAGCCATGCGCTGATTTCTAGTGAAGTCGTGCTGCCGATAAAGGACCAGTCGAAGGCTGACAATAAGCCATTTAAGTGAGTGTTTGTGTCATTATTTTGGTCCCAGCATGCTTTTTTTGAGGTAAAATTTTTGTTTAGAAAATTTGTGTCTGCGACATTTCCATCCGGAGGCCTCGTCAGATTTCTTGCAAACAACAAGGACCTCGTGGAAACTAGCAATAGCCGATGCAAACCCGGCGATGAAGTAATTTTATGAATTCAAATTATTATTTTTTTTTCTAGGAGCTAAAGAGATGCGACCCCAACACCAGACAATATCGCGCCCACGTTAGGCCTAAACCCGGCATGGCCGATCGGGTGCTTACGATGCTGCAGGAGAAGAACAATGCCACGTACTGCGATTGTGAATAAAAAGATTTGCATTATTGTGTTTTCTGAATTTTTATGCGTTTGGCATGCGCCTGGTTTGCTTCGTGGAATTTGTCTTTCCGAGTCGATTTTGCCATTCAATTTTCACTTTCCTTTTGTTCCATTTCCCCCCGCGCTAACGAACCAGAACCGGCAGGTCGGTCCTATAACACCTGTCTAGAGCACAATCGGGAAAGGCCGCGCCGGAGGTTCCAACCTTTCCGTGTTACCGGAACGAGAAGAGGAAGAGGAGAATGATCTGCCCGAGACACCGCTCGAGCAATTGACCAAGGCCTTGCAAGGGAAATGCACGGTTTGCTGGCTTCTCTGCAACGAATGCTCCTGGTTTAGAAAACGCAAGTGAAGAAGCTGTATGCATCACGAATGGCGCTTGCGGACAGTTCGAATTTCGATCTGATGCGTCGCGCCTTTTTCAAAGGGGATTTCATTTCTGTGCCTGAAGGTAAAAAAAGTACAGCCTGTTTTCTCTAAGAACGTATTTTTAGGTGCCAAGCTATGCGGCCTATTCGTGAGCAGCTGTCTCGACCATTTTGAGCAATTGATCGAGACGATTGTCCTAGCAACACCTAAAACGTATGGAAAAGCGCTTCTTTCGCATTATCGGGGCGAAGGCGTTCTTTTTGTTTCTAAACGGTTTTTAGTAAAAAAAGTAACAACTTTTTACTAACCCTAAACGTCAAACCTTCACAAAAAATTCGCCACCCCCGATAATGCGAAAGAACCGGAAAAGCTATCGTGCATGGAATCATTTTTAGTGGTCAGCTGCACGGCATCGGCACCGCTCTGATCCACGCCTGGAAGATGGCCGAGGCAAATCAGGCTGATCTTGAGTAAGCGTGTAAAATTTTACACAACTCTCTTTTAGTCTGCAAAAAATTGAAGACGTCTGGCAAACAATCCTTCGTATGTCGGTGCTGGTGGATGACGAGAAGATACGCAAGGCATACTATGAGGTGGGATTTCCTTTTGCATTTCTCTTAATCTAAATCTATAGATCACAAAACCGCTGACATGGAGGATCGTGGCAAAATCGAGCCGATGCTGAAGATTATTCTTAACCGCGAGCTGACGATGCACATGAGGGTGAATTAATTCTCACATGTTTTTATGCTATTTCTAGGCGCTCAACCACAGGGTGCGATATACGGTGATGCAGTACGTCTACCGGTTCTTCACGATTTTCCCGGAGGATGCTGAGGTGAGAATTTGCGGTGTTGCGCGTACTTGTGAGTTTTCATTTCAGGAGATGACCACCGTCGTTCTCGAGCATCTAAACGACGAATCCGTCGAGATCCGCTCGCAGGCCATGATGCAGTGCATGATCTGCGTTGATCAGTGCTGGCGACTATTGAGCAAACGCGAATTTATTCAGCCCATCTTCGCAAAGGTATCGAATCGGTTGATAAAGAGCTATTTCCGGTTTCTTGGGATGGTCGCCAGCTTGTCTTTGTTCGTCCCAGATAGGCCTAGGAAAACTTTGGTATATTTAAGTGGTGTTTCCAGTAGTGTCCAATAACGAAAATTGATCAAACAATCTAAAATTAGAAGTTTTTCTCATTCTGGGCCGTTTTTCATACATTTTCAAAAAAAACCTTGCGTAGCTCGCAATCTCCAAAATAGCCTAGATTTCATTATTGGCTCTCCACGGGAATATAAGGAAAAAAATCAAGCCCTGAAGCACGAATTAAATTTTAGATCATTGACGAAATGTCGCGCGATCGCAGCCCGAAGGTGCGCGCGGCTGTCTACAAGGCCCTGCGTCCGTTGCTGACGAATGCCGCCGCAATGAATGTCGTCGAGCACGCCCTGAAATGCGTGGTGCCCCACGGATTGGCCGATCGAAGCGAAAAGGTTGTGCCACGCCTTTTCCACCTTCATACCTCAATTTCAGGTCCGACTCGCCTGCTTCCAATTTCTCAATTTGATCCGCGACCATCGTTTTATCAGAGTAAGTCGTCCGCTGCTTTCCAAAATATTCTTTTAGTTCTACGACGTTGCCGACGTGTCGCTGATCCTGGCGTGCGCCGAGTTGGAGACGGACAAGAAGGTCCAGGAGCAGATCGTTGGACTGATCCAGAAGGTATAAAATCTTTTAGTCTTTTCAAGGTATTGTTTTTTTCAAGTTGCAAGGTACGAGCTGGCGAACCTGATGGGCAACTCGATCGGCGTCTTGCAAGCCATTGCCCCGCCCTGTGAGCTCGGCGGAACATCACAAGTAACGCCCGGAATTCACATAATTTGTATTTCGGTTTAGGAAATCGACACCGAGTCCAACTGTGAATTGTTCGCCAAGCTGATCGCGCAGACGACGAAGGATATTGAGGTATCTTTGTGGGCGCAAGACCTCAATATTCCTTCCAGATTCTCATCGACACATTCCCCAGCGAGGGTGTCTCAACGGCCGAAATTAACGAGCAAATGGTTCGGAAAGACCATGACAAGATGAAGGTTTGTCATTTATTTGGTTCTGGTTCGTTAGTGGGGGGGGGGTTATTTTCCCAGATTTTCGCGTTTTCTCTATTTTTCGGTATGGCTAACGCGATCCGATATCGCAAAGAAAAAATATATTAAGCGTTTTAATTCCTGCCCAAAATCCTGTAATCTAAATTAGTTTTGGCAAAAGCAAGAACGCCTTTAAAAATGAAAGTTTGTAAGCTAATTTTCGATATTTTTGTCAAAAAACCATCGACAAAAAATGTCCGCCCCCCCCCCCCCTCGCTAACTAACCATAAACGTTTGTTATAGAGGTTTCTATCAACTTTTTCTAGCTAATGCGAGAACTGGAGGCGAGCGTCGACGATGCGGAACGGTTGTCCAAGTCGCTGGAGCAGAAGCTGAGCAAGATCGCCCAAGTTCAAGTGCAAAGCCGGCCGCATTGACGAGCCATTGAATATTGGATGTCGTGATTTCTCTTGGATCTTGATCCGTAACTGTTTTCCGCCTGTGATCTCTTTCCTTGTACATCCGTATTAATTTGGTATTTTGTGTATAACCCTGCCTAATAAAGTTTTTCTCTTCCGGATTTTGGAATTGAAGACAACAGATCTAAACATTTACACAAGAAAGATTTGCATTGATGATCCGCATCTGAAAATCTTATTTGAATAGGTTTTCGAGTATAAAGGCAGCTACCGGACCTATTGCCCGGCAGTCTACACCTTCGCGATGCAGAAGAAGCGCACGGGCAAGAGGCGGACGAAGCCGAGCAAGGAGGACGAGGAACGGTCCGACGAGGATCACGACGACCAGAAGGAGAAGGCGCCGTCCGTCGGCGAGAGGAGGCGCCAAGGACGCGCCAAGAAGAGAGCCAGCGCCACCAATGCCGGAAATGGTAGCAAGGAGGGGCAGCGTGGGTTCAAATTTTTTTCGCTTATATATTCCTTTTTAGGCTCCGGAAAAGGGCCTGCGCCATCGCCCGCCGAGCCGCTGAACCCGCTGCTGGGGCCGGTGACGCCCAGCGATCCGATCACCGTTGGGATTGATGCGTGGGTGAAGCAGACGTTGGCTACAGGTATGCATGCGCAATTTACGTGTTGTAACGTAAAGTAATGAAAGACGCGAATTTTTGGCCGACGATGAGGAGAACTTTTGACGCTTTTTTCGCTTAAGACTCCCGGCTTTGAAAACTTTCTTTTGGATGCCCTTCTATAGGACAAAGAAAGTAAAAAGCGTGAGGCGCGCTAAACGGGCTAAGCTTTGGCGATAAAAGCTTTGCTTAGCTAAGCTTTTTTATCCTATCCGTAATATCATTCAGTTGTAAAAAGTATATTTTTGTTCCCAGGAATACTCGGGCTCAAAGCGCAATGGGCCGACCTGAAGTCCTACCAGCCGTTGAACAAGACGACGACCGCCTTTGCCGCCAACCCGGACAAGAATCGATACCCGGACGTGTCGTGCTACGATGATACGCGCGTCAAGCTGACGCCCGAGGTGCCCGGCGAGGGCGATTACATACATGCTAATTGGTGTGGGGTAGGCTGAGAGTTTTGGGCAAAGTGAGGTGGTTTAGCTGGAAGGGCGTCCACCCGGCTTCATCGCCACGCAGGCGCCGCTGGAGAACACGATCGGCGACTTTTGGCGGATGGTTTGGGAGCACGAGATTGTGAATGTCGTCCAGCTGTCGCAGGTCATCGAGGACGGCAGGGTCAAGGTAAGCAGGGGTTTCTGGTTGAACTGGCGTAGTTTCCGTATATTTTTCAGGTATTTTTAGTAGTTTTTGATTGCTATGAACAAGATGTAAAAATTTTTTGAAATTTTTCTGTGGTTACAGGGCTCGGCGTACTGGCCGGAGAAGCCGGGCCAGTTCCAGAACCACGGCCGCTTCTTCGTCGCCAACAAGAAGCTCGACGCCGACGACCACCGCTTCCAGGTGTTCACCATCGAGCTGCTGCCCGACGGCTGCTCGAACAGTCGCATGCTACGGTAGCTATCAAATTTTCTAGAAACTACTTGGTAGCCCTGTTTTTTGTTAGAAGTTGACAATTTCGAAAAAACAAAGCAAAAATTGGAAAAATTTTGAAAATTCGAAATTTAGTCGAAAAATTATATTTTTTGCTATTTTTAATAAAAACTTGTATAGTTTTTACGTTCAGAAATCCTAAGAACCAGGTTTAAAACGTTTTTCTGTTTAGCAACAAAGTTTCAGCCTAATCCAATTCACCCGCTGGCCGGACCACGGGGTCCCGTTGCGCGGCAAGACGGTGCTGCGCCTCCTTCGCAGCATTGCTACGGTATGTTTTCGAGTTTGATTAATTAGTTTTCGAATTTTTTCTGCAGGTCGACTCGTGGAACCAGGGCAAAACGCTGCTGCACTGCTCGGCTGGCATCGGGCGCACGGGAACGCTGCTGGTCATCGACTGGCTGCTGTGCAACCTCTACAATGGCGGCTGTAGTGATGTACGGCACTATTGCGTGTCGTATATTTGTTTTGATTACTTGCTTAAATTTTTTATTTGTTTACTAGAATTTGTAAAATTTAATTTGCCGGGTCTCATCATTGAAATTTAACCCATAAAAACTTCTATGCAATTGGAAGTGTCTTTTCCTTTAGGTGACGCAGCTGGTGAAGCTTCTCCGCAGCCAGCGCGCCCACTCGATTCAAACGGACCGCCAGTACATCTTCATCCACTCGACGGTGCTCGACTACCTATGCGTGGGTGTTGCCTGGAGTGGAACGGAATTAACCGGCTAATCAACTATAATAATTTTGCTGTGGTCTCCGTCTGTCTGTCTGTCTGTCCGTCCGTGTGAAGACGAATTCAACTCGAAGGGGAAAGGAGCTAGAGCTTAGCTCTCTCCGGATTCGGATAGAGCGTGGTCAGAAACCCCCAAACTGATAAAAAAATTATGAAAAACTTTTAGTTTAAATTATTAAAATTAACTTTGAAAGTGGCGTCTTAATAAAACGAGTGGGGGGCCCCTCTCCCGGGAGGCCACGCCCCCTTTACCTTCGCCCCTCTTCCCCGGATACACTCGACAAGGCCTATCGTTATCTGCAGGCCACACACTCCCCGGTAGGGCAGATGTGACATCCGCATCTGCACTACCTCGGAGGCCGTTTTAGGAACGAATTTCCCGCACTAATGGTATTCCTACAACCTACCCTTATTTATGTTAACCTATAAAAACATAGTAAATATCGTTTTAAATGATTGGAAACGTACTGATAGCTTTATGAAATCTGTACAACGTGTGGTTCTAGCTGATCGAAGTCAGAGAAAAGAGAAAAGCGTATAAGGTGTTTTTCAGGATTTTTGAAAATGTTTCTATAGAAAAAGGTATTATTATGAACTTTTAAATTTTTAAACTTGATGGGTTCAGGAGTTCACCGCAGTTGCGAAGCAGTGGGCTTTTTCAAAGGTTCTGTGATGTCGTAATTAGTAATAATACCGGCTTTCAAATTATATTCCCAGAAGAGACTAAAATCCAACCTAATTGAGCATTTAAATAGAACATATTGGGTAACGTAGGGTCACTAACGTAATGCGTTATAAGTCCTAGGCGGGCGGTCGTTTTTTGATATTTTTGCGGGATTGTATCAAGCCTATAGACATGCTAAAACAGCTGATTTTGAGGTTTCCACCATAGGTTTTTGTAATATTCGAAATTTACGAAATTTCTCCATATTAAATTTGAGCACGCTATAACTTGCCAACCTGACCTTCAAAAATTCCAAAATTCCGGATGTGCGTAGGGGCAATCCTTAGGTACCTACACTGTAAAAATTGGAATTGTTCGACCACCAGCAATCCAAAAAAATGCAATCGAAGTTTTGCCGGAACGCACATTTTTCGGGTGTCATTTGTATGGGTACGTCGCCAAAAATCGAAAAAATCAAGTTGGTCTTAATCTCTATTCCTGACATATTTAAGCATTCTGGCATGGTAACGCATGGTGAAATATCTTTCTTTCTCGAGTTATTCGGGGACAAACTCCGGAACAATTTTCTAACCCACCCTGTAGTGCGGGAAATGCGTTCCTAGATCGGCCGCCGAGGCAGCGCAGATGCGGATGTCACATCTGCCCTGCCAGGGAGTGTGAGGCATGCAGATAACGATAGGCCTTGTCGACGGCGTCCCTCTTCCCCAGGCCCCTTCCCGCGCCCCCTTTCTTAAGTTACTTTAATACTTTTTAATACTTTTTAATTATGTTAATTAATTATTTAAATCATCTAAAGCCATCGGGAAGGTATTTAGGTAGTTTTTGAAGGGGATTTCAGCCATGGGGGTATCTGAAGCCATCAGGAAGGTATGTAGGTAGTTTTTGAAGGGGATTTCAGCCATGGGGGGGGGGTATCTAAAGCCATCGGGAAGGTCTTTAGGTAGTTTTTGAAGGGGATTTCAGCCATGGGGGGTATTGATGGAGATGGGAAAGGATGTGGTGGAGTGAGACATGTAGGGTAGCCCGAAGGCCAGATGGTTGCAGTCGCGAAGCGACTGTGACCATCTGGTTATAACTATTACACTTTATACATAGTTATCAGAAAATTCCGACATTTTTCGACAAAAATGTCCGATTTTTGCCCGAAATTTTGACTTAAAACATTTTTTAAAGTTTTTCTATAGCTTTTAGATAATTTTTTATGGTTATATTCTACAAAAAAAAACGAATTAAATAGGTTCAGTTGTTATTGTTCTTTTTTGAACTGGTATGAAAACTACGTCCCCGTCATGCGAAAATTAATTTTGAATGTTTCAAGTTCGGACCACTTGAGAAAAACTTTCAGACAAAATATCCGCAGCGGTACGCGGCCTGGGGCGCCGACACGTTCCTCGCCGAGGCGAAGAAGATGAACCGATCGCGTGAACCGGCCGCCACCGGGCCCTCGTCCAAGGAACCAACACCCGAAATTCCCAAGGAGATGAAAGCATAGATCTACCTCTCTCTCTGTCTCTCGGTGCTCTCTCACTTACCCCGATCTCTCGCCCATCACTCGCCCTCTAACAGCCTCTCTCATCCTCTCGCCCATCAACTTGCACCCATATACATTTACTGTTCCACATAAAGCTTACGGTTATCAATGAAATGTCGTGTTAATAAAGGATTTCGATGCTGTGCTTTCCAGGAGGTGCATGCTAGCTGACCTGGTACTGGACTTTAAGCGGGCGGAGCGTTTTTTAGCCGTTTTCCCCCGGTAATTCAGTACCGCCCTATAGCAAAATTTAAGCCATCCTACTATATATAAAAAAAATAGTGTCTGTGTGTGTGTGTGCATTTGCATGCAACTTCCGTCACCGTGTTCCAGTAGTATCTCAAGGGGGGGAAGTACTTAGGGGTATGTTCGATACGTCATTAGGTGCGTAATGGGCTGGAGATGGCTGCACGCATATTAGATTTTACAAAATATGATGTTTTCGACATTAAAATTAAGTTTTTCATGGAAAATGGGACACCGCAATTTGTTAGGATCAAATTAGCATACACCGGAAGTCGCCGTAGCCTATATAAAGGGACGGCAAGAGCATTTTTCTTTTTCCGTCATCCTAATCCGGGAAAATTATGCAAAGCCAAGAATATCATTGGAGAAGACGGGACCAGGGTTGAAAAGCCGCGAAGCGGTTTTTCAACCCTGGTTTTTAATTGTATTTTACAACGTATAACAAATTACAAAAATTCCTCACTTTTTACTTTTTGGTCAAAAACCTATGGAAAATCGGCAAAAATTTTCACAACTTTTGCTTTACGAATTGAAAAAATGTGTTTCGGTAGTCGACAATCTCAATTGAAAACTGGCCAACAACAATAAATTCGTTTCCCGACTCTAACTTTGTGGCTTCAAAAAAACCGCGCTGCCTGGGCGGTTTGTAAAAGAATCTCTGCCAGCGTGCCTCGGATTTTTCAATAATATCAGTTGTCTAGAACCACTGGTTCCCATAAAGGCAAAAAACTCAAGAAATCGCGAATAGCCGTTGAAAAAAATGTGTTTCATCAATTGAACAACAGCCCTCAAAAATCGTTAGCGACAATAATTGGGTAATAAAACCTGCTCTAACTTTGAGGTCCTATAAAGCCGTGCTCAGCGTGCTGTACGCGTGCTTCAAAGAATCTCTGCTAGCATGCCTCGCCTTTTCCCAAAAATTATTTTCGAGAGTCACTGGTGCCATGATTATGCATAAAAAACTCGACAAATCGCCAACGGCCGTCAAAAAAATGTGTTTCATCAGTTGTACAAATTTCCTCAAAAAAAGTTAGCGACAATAATTGGGTAATAATAAACTGAACGAATTACCTCAGAATGAGCCAAGCACAATAATTGGGTAACTAAACCTCATATGACTTATCAGTCTACACTTATTTTCTGCCTATACCCTACCTGCTCATGGTGCCACGACATTTGCGGCCCGACAATTGCGGCCCAAAGCTGCAGTTAATTACCCAAAACTGAAGTTTTTAACCGTCCGGAAGGCCAGTTTTCAGAACGGGGGTTGTCCCCTGGTCTTGACCTAAAAATAAGGCTTCTTGCCACCCGGGGCCTAGTCGCTTCGGATGGGTGCGAGCTCGTACAAGCTTTCGAAATCGGGGCGCCCGAGGCGCCCCGATTTCGAAAAAGTGGAGCGGCAGCCGATGCGACGGCCCGCCTTGCCTGAAAATGCTTTAGACTTTTTTCAGACTTTTTTAATTTTACATTGGGGAAAAACGAGCTTAATAGGACGGGCCGCACATGTCGGGCGCAAGTGACGGGCCGCAAATGTCGGGGAGCCCTGCTCATAATAGTCCAGTACGCCCCCCGCTAATAGACCAGTACCTTTATTTACGGCATTTTCTCTAGTTTCTTATTTTATGCTAATGAGACGGACGGTTCGCGTCCCGTCCCGGACGCGGACGGACGCGGACCGGACTCAAAATGAACAACCCTGGTAAAGATCATAAAACGCGCGTGATCCCCGGCATCGTTTGCATAGGTTGTCGAAATTCCAGGCCGAGATTCCAAATGGGCATCGAGTCACCACGGCTCGTCGCCCATTTTGTTAAATGGGGTTTACGCGGGCGGGGGGGACGAACTGTTGGGGCCGAGCTAACTATTTTTTTGCGTTTCTTTTTGCTACAAACAAAACTCTTAGTATATTTTTAGACGCTCTGCTCTGTCGAATGGAACTAAAGAAATTTTATGAAAATGTCGAAAATGTCGAAGACCTGATTTCTTTCTATGTCCTCCATGGAAACAACGTTTAATACTTGTTTTTGTTATAACTATTTAATATTACATTATTTTGATCTAAAATTAAAACCCTTCGTATATTTTTCGATGCTCTATCGAATGGCATCTTTGAAATGGCGAAAAAATAGCGCGAATTTCGAAAAACAGCCGCTTGGTCCGATTTTCAAAGCTTATTTTTGTATTTGCCACAACTTTTTTATATTACACTAATTTGATCTAAAACAAAAACTCTTAGTATATTTTTCGATGCTCTATCGAATGCCGTTGCAAAAATTCCGAAAAAAAATAACGAAAACATCCAAAAAGGCCTGCCTGTCCCGTCCCCCCGCGTAAAATTGTCCCCCCCCCCCCGCATAACCGACATATACCGGAATTTCGAAAGCAAAAAAAATGCATGTCTGGCAAATGCATTTCTCCACGTCCTGGCCAAAATTCAGCCTAAAATTCGGCCTAACGGCTGAGATATCGACTGCTCAGCAGTAGACATAACTTTCTCGCTTATAGGATAGGATCGATATAGCAAAAAGACATTGCTTTCCGCAAATTTTCCCCCGCACAGTTTTCTCCCGCTCGAAATAGAACAGTACCACTACTTGGGGCAGCCCTTTTCCAGAACGCGGCTCGACTGGAGTCTTGCAATAACGTTTATTCGGCGGTATTAATGGAAATTCTTGCGAGTGTTTCCGGCTGGGAAGCTGATAAGCGACATGGTCACTTGCTCGACAGAACATAGACGACGACGAAAATAGTCGGAATTAGTCGGTTCCATAAAAATGCCGTCCCTGAGTAATTGAGCAAGCCGCGCATCAGGAAGATGTCTCCGGATCATCAGCACCACATCTGAAAGGCCAACACAATTTCGGGAGCGTGGGAAGGGTCTTTCCGACGCCCGTGGAGCCTTTCCGATAAAATCATGTCGGGAATTGGCTTCTCGCAATTTCTAATGGCTGACCGTTATGTGGAGGTTCGAATCGAAAAAACGTCGTGTCGATTTCCGGACCGAATTCCTGCAAAAAAAAGTAGGAAAAGGGCACGTTAAATATATACCAAAAAGTAGGCAGTTTTCGGTCTTTTATCCGATCGGGACCACATTTTTACCAACGATGGTGACCCATAAAAACTATTTGCAGCCAAATTTTCTAAGGAAAATATTGCAAAACAAAAAATGAAGCAAAAATAAGGTTTGTTTCCACGATTTCACGGGGGTTTTGGCGGGTTTCGACCACGAAATGTTTAGCAAAAATGAAGAGCGCGCTGTTTTGCACACGGGTACATTTTTTTGATTTACGAAAACGACGTCTAAGTTCGGACCTTTTATAACTTTCTATTATTAAAAATTACCTTTTTCGGCAACTCACTAATGGCGCAAGCATAGCAAATCAAAAAATCTTTTCCGAAAAGCCCTTTTTTCTGCGACCTTTTGGAACACCCGGTATACAGCTTGTATTCAACTTGTGCTAGTTGCACTCGCAACCTCTTTTCGCATAAGTCTTGAAGGTTCTAGTTCGTTATTAGGGAGGGGGGGATCTATCGGGGAAAATTTTTGTCAATGCTTCCTTATCTTAAAATGCATGATTTTGAGCTGCATCAAAAACTTGTCGACTTTTTTTTGACGCTCTATCGAATAGCGCTAACAGAAAAAGATAACGAAAATTTCGAAAACTTTTGTATTAACTTTCTTAAACTATTGTGGTATTGGTCTAGAAATAAAGTTCGTAGTGTATTTTTTTAATGCTTTACCGAGTCGCGATCAAGTAGTCCCCGAAAAATTATATTGCGAAATCTACACGCATCTACTTTTACGCCCGATAAACATCCCGCGCTCATGAATCGGAGCCGTCGTGATACGCCCAAAAAGGTACTCGAGCCAAAACGGGTAAGAGAGCTACGTCCGATCCCAGAAAATAATTGACCTTGGCAACATATTTGTGAAAGATGGCCTGCATATGAAGGGCAGCGTTCGATGCATTTTCAAGCACGGTCAGCGCCCCGGTTTGTGTCGCCAGATCCTGAAATGATTGTTGTTATTTAACACATTTTTGTTGTCATCTCTCTCTCTCTCTCTCTCTCTCTCTCTCTCTTTCTCTTCCTCGCTGCAAAGAACCTACGATATGTTGTGGTTGATTCTCAATGTCGGTATCGCCAAAAGCTACGGTCCGCATCCTTCCATTCGTTAGCCCAACACGATGCTCCAGCATTTCCTGAAATAACGAATAAGAGCCAATCTAAATATTCCGCTAGTAACGACCTGACAAGCGCGCGTCCCTTCCAAACAGCGTCATAATTTACGTGTTGGCGGTTTCCAAATTTGGGCCCAAAACAAAATCCGTAACCGATCGGGCCGGGCATGTGTGTAGCGTAACCACATCAATGAAACAGTTGGGTAGAGCCCCCTGCTCCCCTCCCCCGAGGCCCCGTTTGGCAAGAGTACACTGCGATACCGTCGCCGAGGCCGCGGCGCGCGCTCCAAGGATCGCAGGGCGCACAAAGAAGAGGGCCCTCTCGCAGTCAGTCGCGGATTTTTGGGGGTTTGCCGCACCCCGTTGCCGCCGGTTTCCCTTTTATTCCCGGCCCCGAGTTTTCCCTGTCCCCGAGTATTTTCCCGTCCCCGAGTACCCCGTCCCCGAGTATTTCCCCTGTCCCCGAGTATTTCCCGTCCCCGAGTATTTCCCCTGTCCCCGAGTATTTCCCGTCCCCGAGTACCCCGTCCC